TAAAAAAATTAATAAGAATTGAAGAAGAAAAAAATGACCAATAAGAACAGTTGTCGTGCAAAACATTTTATGCCATAAAGACCTTATATTAAAGAAAACAGGGTAATGAAAAATTACAATGCACCTCATAATAAACTTGTCTGATCATTGAGAAAGGACCAATAGATTGACCTTATAACAACATTCCATTCTATGAAGCACTTCTATCTTCCTAGGTTTCCTTGCTGTCATTATCATGGAAACAAATATATATTGATATTTTATTGACATTAATATAATATATTTATTTTATTCTGCCTATATTTTAGTTATAAATTTTAATTACGGCCTATACAAATTTTTAGGATTGATTAATTAGAAGTCCTATGTAAGGGAAACATGCATTTTATTTATAATTTCATAAAAATAACAATATGATAGCTTTGAATTGTTGAACTGTTAAAAGAGAACTAAACTTTTTGCAAAAAAAAAAAAGAGAACTAAACTTTATTTACAAATAAAAATAAATGATTATTGAAATAATTAATAGTACGAGGATTGAGAAATTTTACTTCTGAATTAACGAGGATTCAATTGTAAATGAATATAATATATATATATATATATATATAATCTCATAAATGTTCCGCAGCGTACAAAAGCAATGGAAAGGAGAACATACCAACAAATGTCCGATGCATTAATTGAATTTATCTCTTACAATTTGTAATGCACATGACTAAATTAATATATTAAATTAGAATATTTAAAATAATAATCGGACGAGAGGAGTCTTTATTAAATAAAAATTAAATTAAATGATTAAAATATACAAAGAATAAGCATGAATTAACAATATGACAACGTACAATTCAAAATTAAATTTAAGAATAATTTTAAAAAATTACAAAAATAGGCATAGATTGTATTTACTTAAGAGAAGATAAAGTCAGACATGAATTAACAATATGACTTACATGAAAAACATTTAATAATGAATATGCCCAATCATTTCATAACAAATGAATTTTTTATTGCTATGATAATGACGGATTTAGAAATTGAGAATGAGGACCAAGGCTCACAACCAACCAATGTGACTAATACAGGATACTTAGATGATGGTGATCCTATATTCAGTTGTAGCAATTGTGGAGCAAAAATGTGGTTGGCTGAGCGACTCAAACGTTCTTCACCAAAAGTTCCTCCAGTCTTTTCAATGTGTTGTTGTCATGGAAAGGTTCAAGTTTCGAACTTAGAAGATCCACCAGAAGGACTTTACAAATTGTTCTTCGACAAGGGATTTGCATTCTCCAAAAACTTTCAATCAAATATCAGGGCATATAACATGTTCAGTTTCACTTCCATGGGTGGTAAAATTGATCATACTTTAAACAATGATGGTGGACCATACACATTTATTATACATGGACAAAATTATCATCGCATAGGAAGTCTAATGCCCCTCAATGGAGCTCCTCCTATATATTCTCAACTCCACATTTATGACATAGAGAATGAGATACCTAACAGAATTAATGCTGTCAGGTAATAAAGAAAATAGAGTCACGTTTCATGTATAATTCTTCCTTAATTTCATCTACTCTATGTGACATTTATTAACTTTTATCATTCTATATTCTTACTATTACAGTCAACATTCAAGGGAAATGACATTACAACCTCAAATTGTTCAATATCTCAAAGATATAATTGATCGTCACAATTCTTTGGCTACAAGGTATAGAATGGCAAGAGACATATTACAAGAAGATCCAAGAGCTCATGTAAGGATATGCTTGCTTAGATAGAATGAAAGAGAAAGTAGGAATTTTAGTTTACCTATTGCTTCAGAGGTGACAGCTCTTATTGTTGGGGATTTTGGTGAAACTTATTACAAACGTGATATAATTGTTAAAAAAAGAGGCCAACTAAAAAGAATTGATGAAATTCACAAGTCATACCTCCCTCTTCAATATCCTCTACTATTTCCTTTTGGAAATAATGGATATAATCCAGAAATACTACATGAAGAAGAAAGCCTGCACCATACATCAAGGAAGAATACACTATCTATTAAGGAATACTTGTGCTACAGGTTGATGGATAGAGATAGTGAAATTTCTTTGATTCTTCACGGAAGAAGACTACTACAGCAATTCATCATTGATGGATATGCAATGTTGGAAGGCTAAAGATTGGATTTCATTAGAAATCATCAAACAAGAACTTAGAGTGGATCTATATCAAGGTCTTTCAGATGCTTTGTTTAGAGGTGAAATTGAAGCTGCTGTAACTGAAAAAAGGATAATATTGCCTTCATCTTTCACAGGAGGAGCTCGATACATGATAAACAATTACCATGATGCAGTGACAATTTGTAAATAGGCAGGATATCCTGACATATTCATCACTTTCACATGCAATCCAGCATGGCCTGAGGTTAGAAGATTCTGTGAGAAGGAGAATTTAACACCAAGTGATTGTCTAGATATCTTGTGTCATATCTTTCAATTCAAGCTGAATAAACTTATGAAAGTTATAAAAGATGACAAGATTTTTGGCTCAGTGAAAGCTGGTTTGCACTTAAATTTTTTATAAATATAAAATTTTATGTACTTGAATTTTTGCCCCACTTAAAATTTTGATATCTTTTCTCACCAACCATTATTATTTTCCCATTTCAGATATGTATACAATTGAGTTTCAAAAAAGAGGTCTTCCACATGCTCATATTATTCTATTCCTTCAAAATAAGGATAAAATCACAGTTGCTAGAGAGGTTGATGAAATAATATTTGCAGAAATCCCAAACAAAGAGGATGATCCAGTTCTTTATGAATTAGTAAGCAATTTCATGACTCATGGACCTTGTGGACATGCAAATAAAAGATCTCCTTGTATGAAAGAAGGTAAATGCAGCAAACACTTCCCTAAAAAATTTTCTGACAACACAGTTATTGATGATAAAGGTTATCCAACATATAAAAGGAGAAATGATGGGAGGAAGATTATCAAGAATGGGATAGTGTTAGACAACAGATACATTGTTCCTTACAATCCAAAGTTGCTAAAGATATTTCAAGCTCACTTAAATATTGAAAAGACTAATCAATCCACATCCATCAAATATTTGTTCAAATACGTTAGCAAAGGCAATAATCGAGTCATTGCAGGGATGTATAACAATAGTAATGACAACAACTCTCAGATAATCTTTGATGAAATCAATCACTACTTAAATTGTAGATACATCTCATCGTGTGAGGGGTCTTGGAGAATTTTTGGATATGACATTCATTATCGTTTTCCTTATGTGGAAAGGTTAAGGCATCATCTTCCAAATAGACAACCTGTAATATTCAAAGGAAATGCAAATGTGCAAAACTTGATGAATAAAAAAACAATTAGATAATCAATGTCTTTAGCTTGGATAGAAAAGAATTCAGATCCCCACGATCTCAAAGCAAGAACTCTTAACTTATTCTAAGTTTCCAGCACATTATGTCTTTGGTAAGAATACAAAGATCTAGAAATCAAGACAAAGGGGATTTTCAATTGGAAGAATTGCACATGCATCTCCATTTCAAGAAGAACAATATTATCTTCGCTGTCTGCTCACTAAAGTCAAGGGGCCAACTTCTTTTGAAGATATAAGAACCGTTAATAATGATCAATACCCAACATTTAGATCGGCATGCTATGCTCTGGGACTTCTGGATGATTACCAAGAGTATATTGATGCCATCAAAGAGGCCTCTATATGAGCTTCAGGTCATTATCTGAGGAAATTTTATGCAAATATGCTACTCAGTAACTGTCTTAGCCAACCTGAGTTTGTTTGGAGTCAAACATCTTGCCTAATATACAAGGATATGTTTTACTCAAGTGACGCTAGACATGATGAAATAGGTTAGCCTCTAATCCTTTATTATACTAATGTTCAATTGTTATGCTCCTTCAAACATTAAAAGTCATAAACAAAGAAGTATAAGGAATCTCTTCATGATTATCAAATCTCTTTATGAGTATGTAATTGGAAAAAAAATTCATTCACATAACAAAATTATTCTAATTCAAATATTTTTATACCTACTTATCACGTTTTAAATTTTTTTTAGTTTTGTGAACTTCATTATATACTTTCCTTTTTATTTTTCCAAAAAATTGAATACACAAGTAACATAAAATGCTAAATTACAAAAAGTACTATTTCAAACATAACAATAAATTAACTATAGTGATTAACTATAGTGAGTTTAATATTTGATATAATGACGACAAATTACCCAACCTAATAATTATATAACTTTTTTATTTCCCTTCATTTTTAAAACATTTTAAAGACATTTATTTTTTATATACAAATTTAAAGGGACCTATTTTAACGTTACCGTATTTAATGATTTAAAATTGAGAACTACAACATTAGGCAATTATATTTTCATTACCTTTTGTTTTTAATTCTTATAGCTTCATTTCATATTTGAAATCCATTTAGTTTCACATAATTGCAATATTAGTCCAAATAATATTTCTTCACTTCAAAGTTCTTTCATTTCTAGCATCTATTTTCACTAATAAAGACAAGAAAAATGCTGCACTATCAGAAATTAACAAGATTCTTCTTCAAAATGGAAGGTCTCTAGATGATTTTCCTTCATTGTCTAAACCTGCAGTGGTCATTGAAATGAAACAATTAACCATCTTGTGCTATAAGAATTGAAGTTTGATGTAGAGTTTTACAAGACCGAAAGAACAATGTATGAACAAAAAATGACTAATGAGCAAAAAAACATTTATCATGAAATCATCTTTGCTGTTCAATCCAAAAAAGGAGGATTCTTCTTCGAATATGGTTTTGGAGGAACTGGAAAGACATTTCTATGGAATGCTATAACAACTTACATTAGATCCAAGAAAAAAAATTATCTTAAATGTTGCATCAAGTGCTATTGCAGCAACATTGTTACCTTCTGGAAGGACTGTCCATTTAAGGTTTTGTATTCCTATTAACAAAAATGAAGATTCTACATGATTCTGCAATTGCCAATTTTCTAATAGCCACAAATCTCATAATTTGGGATGAGGCTCCAATGATGAAGAAACATTATTTTGAAGCATTAGATAGGACATTAAAGGACATAATGCATTGTGATCAAATTTTTGGAGGAAAGGTCATTGTTCTTGGGGCAGATTTTCAACAAATTTTTCCTGTAATACCTGGTGCCTCTAGAGTAGACATTGTTAATGCTTCAATACATTCATCCTATCTGTGGTATCATTGTAAAATATACAAGTTGACTATGAATATGAGGTTGTCTGCATCAAATTTTGAATCAGAAAAGGTTGATATACAATCTTTCTCAGATTGGCTTTTAAGCATAGGAGATGGTTCAAATAGTATTGAAGGAGGAGGACAATCAATCATACATATACCAGCTGAATTTTTAATATTTGAGTTCATTGACCCTTTGAAGAAAATTGTAGAAACAATTTGTCCCCAATTAGAGCAAAATTTCATGCACGAAGATTTTTTCACCAGCAAGATAATATTGGTTCCGACCTTAGAAGTTGTAGATCAATTGAATAATTACATTTGCTCAATTTTCTCAGGGGATGCAGTTACATATTTCAGTTCAGACTCCATATACAAAGTTGATCAACATTCTGACTACTTTGATGATATTTACAATACTAAATTCCTAAACATAATTAAATGCTCAGGAATGCCTCCACACAATTTGACTCTTAAAGTAAGAGTCCATGTCATGCTTATAAGAAATATAGATCAGGCTAATGGACTATGTAATGGAATAAGATTGAGGATCACTTTGTTGGCAGACCATTTTATTAGAGGAGTAACCCTAAATGGATCAAAATCAGGAGAAGAAGTCTATATTCATTGCATGGACCTTAACCCTTCTGAGGGAAATCTTCCTTTTCTCATGCATCGTCAACAATTTCCTATTGTCCTCTCATTCGCAATGACCATAAATGAAACTCAAGGACAGACTTTGTCAAAAGTAAGAGTTTATTTGCTAAAATCAGTTTTTACACATGATCAATTGTATGTTGCTTTATCTAGAGTTACATTGAAGAATGGCCTTAAGCTTCTTATTCATGATTCTAAATTTAGGCCATTGACATCTACAACAAATGTAGTTTACAAGGAAATTTTTCAAAATGTTGTGTGAGGGGAAAAACAAGAGGTTCATATTAAAGTTGAATAAATGTATTCGTATTATGTACTCTTTATGGAAATAATGCATTCATCAAAATTTAGATATTTTCCACCTTAACCTGTAACTTACTATAGGATCAAGAAACAAAGATAAGATATTAACAAATCAAATGTCCAAGGAAAATGGTGTATAAAATAACACTTGAAAATATGACAAACTCACATCCATCCTTATTAATGATATCAATTATATTTTATTTAAATTCCTCCGTTCTAACCCGTGCAACGCACGAGAAAGAGTCTAGTTAAAATTGATATTTGGATACGTTCAAGTGGATTCTTTTTCCCCAAAAAAAAAAAAGAACAAAGGTCAAGGCAATTTATGATGTTTTTTAAGTTTTTGTTGTTTTAGATTCCAACTAGGGTCAATTTGTACTGGTTATGCCCGCATTATTATTATTATTATTTTGTTTGATCAGATCAACAGGATCATAATTTTATTGGTGACCTTTTCATGACAATTTTACAACTTTTTGTGATAACCTTGAAGAATTGGAGGATGAAAGTATATTAAGAAAATAAATACTAATTATTTAAAAATTAAGAATTGTTATATTCATATAAATTAGTTAAGCAATCCTTTGTAATACAATATGGAGTATGTGCTTATTACATGTTATTATTTCATGGAGTTACATATTTAAAAAACTGTTGCATATGACCGGGGCATCACATTGATAGTTATATATTAAGTTCGGGCTACCGTTGCAATCCCTTTAATGTACCATACGTATAACTCGACGTTGAAAAGCACCTTTGGAACCAAAAATATTGGAAATAAATATAAAAAATTTGTATCAAACAAAATTTTTTTTTATCGTTCAAGAAAAATTAAAATAAATTCAGCAACCCCAAAATATATTTTAGGAGAAATGTTCAGAAAAACTTAAGTCCTAAACAAACATTATTTTGCATTCTGCACCATTAATAATTAATGTTGGGAATGAGAAGCCACGGCCAAAAAACATCCTAAAAATTATTAGTAATCATTTAAACTTGAACCTTCTATATTGACATGAGGACTAAGGTATTCACAGATTCAGTTTAGTTTAGTTTTGAAAAAAAAAAAAAAAAAACCAGATTGAATCAAACCAGTCAACTCACTAAAGCTTGGGACCTATTCATTTTTTTCTTTTAATCCGTTTGGTTTGGTTTTTGAACGATTTAGTTTAAGTTCATATTAAGTTTGAATTTGTTTAATGATATATTATTTATAATCACTAATATATATTTATGTTCATCAATAATTTTTTACTATTAATTATTATTTGCAATGAAAAAAATATCTTGAGCACAAAATTTTTTTAATAATTAATTAGTATATTTAACTACTAAAAATTAATATATTATCTTTAAAACACTTAATTACAAGATTAAAAAAATTATCTTAAACAATTATAAATAACATTTATATAATTATAACTTATTTTTACTAATGATTTGAAAATAACTAAACTCGAAAAAGGAGAACAATTTGACAAATTTATAAAAATATAAATATAATAAAACTTGATTCGATTTGGTTTAAGTTTCTAAAAACAAATACTTAAATCAAATCGAATCAATCAATTTTGTCAAAAGAAAAATCAAACTAAACTTTATTTATAATTAATTTTGATTAATTTAGTTCAGTTTAATTTGATGTGATTGGTTTGGATTAGTTTTAAATACCCTTGTTGAGGATTCAAAACCCCTGTCCAGTGCCTTGAAAACCATCTAAAAAACAAAAAACCAAACAAAGCATAAACCAACCAAGAGGCTTACTTGGTGGTTGGTACCGTACGTCCGTATGCATTAATTTTTTCGGGCCCATACTTTCAAATACCGTTCTATTGGATAAATTTCACTATTTTTCTTTAAATGCAAATTTAAAGGAGACTGAAAAGCCACGCTTACTGCGAGCTAACAACAGAAAAGTCATCTGAAACCAAAATCTTCATATCCTCCAACAACATATGAACAACCTGAAGTAGTCTCGTTAATCATGATCAAATATTTAAGTATGACCGTTTCCGTACATGATGGTTAAAAATGACAGGTTATACGAATTAGTCATGCACCTGACTTCATTAAAAATAATAAGATCATTTGAGTCATTTCTTTAATTTCATTTTAATCTCTCATGTGTAGTTAAGTTTCAAAATTTTCGGAAGTTGACTGAAATTATATTGGGTCAAGGTGTGCAATCTGAAATCTTCATATCCTCCAATAGCATCTGAACAGAACAACCTGAAGGAGGCTCGTTAATCAAGGATCAAATATATCAGTGGCCAGTTCATCCATCAGACTGATTAGTAGTTTTGCCCACCAAATGCTATTAATAATGAACCCATGTCTCAATGCAAATGTTATTGTAGTACTCTAATCTCATGTTGCAACTACTAGTAGGGTCTGCAGGTAAAACTTAAACATCGCCTATTAATTGTAATTAATTATAACGTCCTCAAACCAAAACCCCTTCTTCCCATGCAGCCTCCACCACATACCTGACCCGTCAAAATTTTAACACTCCTCTTGGACTATTCAATAAAGATCCTCTGATCAATACTTCTTACATATATAAATCAAATGCAAAAATCTTGGTGGATAAATTTCATTAATGGCATGAGTTGAGTAGGTGAAATATGTGAATTTCAGTATGCAATGGATGGTTTAACCCGTACCTCCAGACTTGAGAGTAGGTTGAATACCTTCAAGAGAATCCATGTGACATTTAATCTTTGAGAATTTGGTACTGTTTGCACATCTCCAGTCTTCTTTTCAAACCCAACATTTCCAAATCTGCTCTGTAATTGATTGACTGAACCATCAACATCCTTATCTCCATTGGTAGATTTCAGTTACCTCAAGAGCTTCCTTACATCAATGTGGTCCACCTTCAGCTACTCATTCACAGTTGAGGCACCAAAGGCATTTATATTTATAGCATTTCTCCTCAGCCAATTCGATAACAAAATATGCTTTCTTCCTCTCATCGGAGACTCTCCAACCATCATTGTTGATCTGCCTCCTTCATCTCAGGGGTCGTTGTCGTCACCGGGAACGACCAAAGAATCCAGCATCGATCTGCCTTCATATTATCAGATCTGGTATGTCTTCATATTATCAGATCTGGTATGTCTTTTGCCTCCTTCATCTCAGGCGTCATTATCAGATCTGACTCGTCTCTAGAAATTGTTCCGTGCTTTTTTGCTTTTGTTCCATCAATATAAAAATTAATTTGCAGAGTGGGTAAGGTGGATTTGTCAATTAGTGGTTTGATTCTTCATCTTCCTTTTTTGGTGTACAAGACGGGACACGAGCCCAAACAAAAATTCAAACACTTGAAACTCTCGCACTTGTCAGGCCCATGTCACAGCTGTGAAACAACTGCTTTGGTCCATCGGGAAGCTCGCATAAAATCTGGATCGATTGTGATTGAAGAAATCCCCATTTTGCAATCCTATCTGAAATTTTTTGTTCCCCTCTCTAAATGTGTGCGTTACTTTAATCTGCCACCTGTTGCTCAGTAGCCTACCAATCCCCAATTCCCCGTATCTAAATAACCTCTTCAGTCTTTGGACAACTGTCCATGAGTCAGACTCAATTATGACAGCGTTTCCCTTATTGTTTTTTCATAGAAAACTTTTAGAGGATCATTTTCGCTCCCCTTCAAAACTCTCCAACCAAACACATCTCGATTGTTATTGGTTTGTACTTGTTACAATTTCTTTTGCCAACTAGTGAACGGATATTGATGCGTTGTTTTTTTCTGAAACTGTTTGAGCAGCTTCTTCATCTTTTGCATTTTCAAATGATTGGCAAAAAAAACAATTATTGGTCTGGTAACCTTGTCTCTAGCTTGGAAGACCAAACCCAGTCAAGTCTTATGTCACGTTCTTTCGAACTTGACCGCTCTGCTGATTACAAAGTTTAGCCCGAAGCACAGTCAAATCAAACCTTGGGTTAATGACAAACCTAATTAGAATTTAGCCTAGCTTATTTACCTAAACAATTTAACTAAATAAATCAGACCTATTTTTTCAAAGTTTGGTTTATTTAGGATTTTTATTTAATTTTCTATATATTTAAATTTGCTTTTAGATAAAATTTCATATACCAATAAAACTCATTAAATGCATTTTATAATTTTACTTTTTTAAATTAAAATTATAAACTTTTAAAAATATCTTTTATTTAATACTCTATCAATAAAAAGATATTGAAGAAAGAGAATATATGGGGAGGGTAATATTAAAAAAGTATAATTAATGAATTTTATTTTCATCAAACTATCTTTTATTTTGGAACATTGAATCTTTTTTAAAAATATCTTATAATTTGGGATGAAGGGAGTATTATATTTTAATTTATGTTATTCTTGTCAAATGATTGAGCTTTGATTATGATTTAAGAAGGCTCAAAATCTAGTGAAAATTATTCAAAGCTTATTTTTTTAAAATATATTTAAAGGCGTACGTAATAAGCATACCTTTAAAAAGGTTAAGCATGGTCAAACTTATGACAAACTCGACCATAGCTTAGACCTTGAATCTTTGTTATAAGTTCAGGCTTATTTAAACGAGCAGTGGCTTGTTCCTTGTTCTCATCCCTATTCGTGGTTTCATCGCTTTGTTAGACGAACAAGCGCATTTAAACCGTCGATGAATCACGGAACTTCCTCTTTAAATTCTGCCACCAAACTCGCCCGATGTGGAACCGGTCATCAATTGCAGCTCATTTTTTTTTCTTTTCTTTTTTTGAGTTTTTTTTTTTAAGGAATGATATAGTATATGCCTCTTCATCATTAATTAGTATGCATTTATCCGTTATCCACTCATCCATCAACCAATCTTAAAGATTTGAATCTGTACTTTAATTTCCCAGACCTTGCCGTATATAGTCATAATGAAAAATACGAGGGAAATGGAAAAACCCTTCCTATCTCTACCACTTCTTTCGTTTCTCTCGTTCACGTCACCAGTAAAATTCAACGGACTTCACATATCATGATCCATCCATAACCTCGTTCTGTTTTAACATTCTCGCCCCTTCACACCTTAACAAAGCTTTCTTTTTATTATTTCTTATTTTATTTGTAAGTTATTCCTAACATGTTTTATTGAAATTAAAAAAAAAATTAAACTCCATTAACCAGGTCGTAAAATTTTTTCCTCTACTCGTAATAAAGAGAATTACTTTTAACAATTTTTCATAACATTTAATAATGGCAGAAAAGTTAATGCAGTGTCTTATAAATAAGACGAAAATTAATTTTCTCTCCATGTCTTGTAAATTTTGGACGGTATGTTACTGACTTCTATTTCCATCGTTGTTTTAAATTAAAACAAACGGTTTTGACTTGGACTGGGTCCCTGTAAACTGTCTAGCAATTCATTCATATAAACACTTTGTTTATAAGTGTTGGTGGGGGACCACTTCTGACACAGGAAAGTAGAGAGGCGTTTGGTCTGGGACTGGAATATTTTATGGATGAATAAGTGCTCTGAAAGGCAAAAGTGATAAATCGAATGTACGTCGAGGCAATAATGTGCTCATCACATATTCAACTACCTCATTTACTTCTCTTCTTATTAATTGTTCTCAACAATTATCTTCTTACGTTCCTATTTGTTTGGCCAATTCTATAACAACACTTCACTCGCACCAGCTCCTATTGCCTGTCCGCCGGTTACTAATTACTTCGGCGCCGTCGTCAGAGCCCATCCTTCTGCTGCAGGTTATGGTCACTCTTATAGGGTTCTGACTGTATCTTTCATGATCGTCGCAGTGATATTTATTTCTGCCAATAATTTTGGATCTTTTGGGCCATTATATATATTTTATTTTAATTTAGTTTAATTACGCTTGGAGTTGGTTGGCTGGTTGTTCATGTTTCACTGGGTACGTAAAATTCAAAACTTCAAGAACGTACTGTGATGAGTTTGGGTTAAATCACCCTTAATTCCAGTCACTTTCATTCATATGGACTTCAGAAGTCATCAACCCGTAGCATGTAATTATCCTGTCTGCCTTCACAGACCGGCGACACAAGTGGTTCAATTATCCACTCATATTTAAGAGAGTCAGAGCTTCTTCACCAAAGTGCTTGGTGCCCAGTGGATGCGTATCTCTGGTTCAGGTTTCGTGCATCCCAGAGAATGAAGATTTTTTCAGCCAAGGTCGAGGAAGGAAGAGAAGGTCACAATGGAAAGCCCACCGTCGGTCCCGTGTACTGCAACCTTCTCTCCAAAGATCGGTTTCCTCCCATGGATCCCGATTTAAACACCGCTTGGGATATTTTCGAGTAATTTTATTCCCTCTTCTCTAACTTCTTCGTCCCTTCTCACCATCATGTCATCGGGATTTTTGTTCGTTTCAAGTTAAATTGAGCATTTGCTTCGTGATTCCAGGTTGTCTGTCAAGAAGCACCCCGGGAACCGAATGCTGGGATGGCGTCCAGTCGTCGATGGAAAGGTATTGCTTTGCATTTTCTTAATCAACTCGTAAGTATCAGAAAAGGATTACTGACTTCTTACTATAGATAGGGCCTTATGCTTGGAAGACGTACAAGCAAGTTTATGATGAAGTTCTGGCCATTGGCTCTGCTCTACGAGCTTCTGGTGCCGAACCTGTAAGTAGTTGTTTAAAGTCCATCATCATACCCTGCGTATAGTAACATACTCTTAAAGGGAAATCTTTCGTGTAGGGCTCTCGAATTGGAGTTTATGGGTCTAACAGTCCCCAGTGGATTGTGGCAATGGAGGTTTGTCACTTCCCCTAGTTTTGTGTTAAATTACGAGAATAACAAACCTCTGCTGCTACTTAATCACAGAAAAGGACCAAAGGATTTTGAAGTCGCTCCGTGGGACCAGTTTCTTGATCCTGCAGAGTAATTTTAGAATTTTTTGATCCTTTTCTTTGATTAAGTTGCTGCAGAGGTCTTTATTGTGATTTTAACTTCTGCTCGTTCCTTGTGATGGCAACACAAGCATAACACTTTATATGTGATTGTAGGCTGCCAGTGCTCACAGTTTAATTTGTGTGCCTCTCTATGACACCCTCGGTGAGCTTCTTCTATATTATGTTCTGAGTGCTTCCTTTGTTATCCCCACTTCTCTTTTTTATGATCCTATTCAGACCAACTCTCTGTTGGTCATTTTATCTATTCAATTTACTTTCCATGTCATTGTTCAAAATTTGAAATAAGTTATTAACAACACCTGCAGGGCCTAGTGCTGTGAACTATATCATAGATCACGCAGAAGTAGATTTTGTTTTCGTCCAAGATAAGAAGGTTGCAAAAGTAAGAATCAATCACTCTCTTGATCTAAATCTCGCTGGTTCCGAATTTGGGATTTTTTTTTTTAAAAGTAAATTAGGAGTTTCTCATCTGATGCATTTACTTACTTATGCAGCTTTTGGATTCTGATTGTAAATCTGCTCAGCGACTGAAAGGTAAAAGTATAGCTACTTTGAGGTTGCATGACGAATTTATAATGCATGTGTTAAGGCACATACATGTCCTGCAAGATGACTGAGTTAGGTTGTGGTTACAGCTGTGGTGTGCTTCACTTCACTAACGAAGGGAGAGAAAGATATGGCATCTAGCATTGGAGTGAAGCAATATTCATGGGATGAGTTCTTGAGCATGGTTGGTGTTTAAGGGATTTGTCTTTATTATAATAGTATAACTATACCCTCGTCCTTTCATTTGGTTAGTTGCTAGTTAATATTAAAAGCGTGGTAAGAATGCAAGATTCCGCAAGACTGAGGTGCTGCCTGTTGGCTGTTCTTTAAAAGTCTTGGCTAGTTTTGAAATTGGAAAATGACAACTAAGGACCTCATAAAATCATTAATTACAATTAGAGACTGAAATATTGAAATCCTACTAATGGACCATAATTCTTACTTGAAATTAAAAATATAAGTTTACAAAATTATTTCAAGTATTGAAATTACGATCATAAGTTGAGACTATTGTTAATCTCAGTCAAAAAAATCAAGAATCATACTTGAAAATGGAATTAATAATAGTCTTAACTTATAATAGTAATTTTAATAGTTTCTAACCATAACATTTGGGATTTTGATTTTTCTAATTGAGATTAATAGTCTCAATCTATGATAGTAACTTTAGTAGTGTTTTTTTTTTTCAAGTAGTTTGCCTCTATATTGACAAATATAAAAATTTATAAGTGATTAGTTTTATATTCAGAAGTAATTTTAGCAAATTTTTAAGTGACTATCATATATTCATAAGTGTCTTTAAAAAGTTTCACAAGTATATTTAATTTCATACTGAAAAATAATCTACTCTCAAGTATGAATCCTAATTTTTTTAGCTAAAATTACAATAGTCTCAACTTATTATAGTAATTTTAGAAGTGTCTTTTTTTCTCCTTCTAAGTGAGGTGAACTTTATAAATTCATGTATATTCTTAATTTCAATTAAAAGTCATAGTCTATTATTAAAATTTTAATAATTTGAGATTCTTAATTATAATTAATAATCTTATAAAGTCTTTAGTTATTATTTTTCCTTTCAAATTCTCTGCACTTCTAGTTAATCAAACGGGCTTAATATCATACAGGGGAAAGAAAATCCGTCAGACGTTGTGCCCCCTCAATCTCATAGCATCTGCACAATAATGTACACGAGTGGGACCAGTGGACAACCTAAAGGAGTTGTTTTAACGCATGAGAATATAGCAGCACTCGTAAGAGGAATGGATCTTTTCATGGAACAGTTTGAGGATAAGGTAATTAAATTATGATAATATTACATCCTTTGCCCACTAATTTACTGATATCCATATTCAATATGTTTGTTGCTTCTGCATATGCACTGTAGCTATTTTCACAGGAGAGAGCAGGTAAGATTAAATGTAAGATGTACTGAAAATTAACCAAATCCCTGATAGCATATTTATTTGCATTAAATTTTGACACTTGTCCTCTTCAGCTTTTCTGACGGGGAGGTTTTATTTTGTACAGATGACTGTCGATGACGTGTATTTGTCTTTTTTGCCCTTGGCCCACGTACTTGATCGGACAATTGAAGAGTACTTTTTCCATAAGGGTGCATCTGTGGGCTATTACCATGGGGTAAGTATAAGCATCCCAAATCAGCTGTTACTTTGTGCAGAGTTACCACTTGTTTGACTTACTAATCTTTTCATGTCAAATTATAAAATATTTTTTTAAAAAAATTTAATATTTTAAAATATAACACACTTTAATAAAAATAAAATTTTATTGATAGTATTTTTGTTAATATTACATTTATCATATATCTTCTCTTTTTAATATTCTTTAATAAATGAAATATCAAATAAATAATATTTTTGAACGTTGGTATATGTTTTTTGAAAAGGTAAGATTGTAAAATATATTTAATAATTTTTATTTGTATGTTTGATTTTATTTAAAGATGCTTTATAATTTAAAATAAAGAGAGCATAATATAAGTGATGTACCCCTTTTGGTCATATTTACAAGGTAAATAAAGAAGATCTTTTTGGACATATTTATAAGTCAAATTTATTAAATTTTTATAATAAATTTTATCTTTTATCTTTTATTAAATGTTGGAGAGAAAAAATTTTATTAACATATATATGTAATAAATATAAAATTAAAAAGAAAAAATTATATATAGGTTTTGTGAAATAGATTTATTTATAAATAAGCCCTGCAAAATTTAAAAATTATAATTAAGTCTCTTGAAATTTAAATGTAATTTAAAATTTAGATAAAAGATAATAATACTTCTATTAAGTATATATACATTATATCAATTAAATAATTTACAAGTACTTTATCAGTAATTTACAACTATAATTTTAATTTTTTACAACTATAATTTATATATTTAATAATTAAAATGATTAGTTTAATTATTGAATAATTGAAGTTATAATTGTAAAAATTAAAGTTATAATTATAAATTATTAATGAAGTAGTTGTAAACAATTAATGTTAAACTTTGTTAGTAACACATGATTGTTTAACTATTGAATATGTGAAGTTACAGCTGTAAAAATTTGAAATTATAGTTATAAATTATTGATAAAATAGTTATAAATTAATTATTTGATTGATGTAATATATGTGTAATAGGGATATTATTATCTTTGTAATTTAATTTTAAATTATACTTGAATCTTAAAAAACTTGGTTATGGCTTTTAAGTTTTTCAAAATTTATTTATAAATAAGTTTACTTCACAATATCTATACATAATTTTTTTAATTAAAAATTTATTAAATTTTTAAATATAGTTAATAAATTTTAAGGATGCTAGATGTGAAATTGTGAAATATTGGAGGAGGGTACTTTGACTTTTTATAAAAGACAAAAAAAAAAAAAGCCGAAAACGAGGAAAGCCCAGTACCTTTTTGCTGCTAGTGCAAGGCATTTAGAGGGGGAGACGGTGGGTAGTTAATAAATCCTTGTATCCAATTTCCCTCCTTGTCCTTCAAAACTCCTCCACATGAGCCCACTCCATTAGATAAAGTGGACTCATCAGCTTCCAAAATCATAGCCCTTTCACCGTCTTGGAAATCAATAGTACAATTACCCCAAATTTTTCCTTTAGATAAATGATTTCTTAGGACCATATCATTAGTGGCCCTGAAGAAAGAACCCGTGGGGTCTTCCCGAACAAGTTCCTTCTCCTCTCTAAAACTCTTTCCGCAGACTGATGTGAAGTATTTGTTGGTGAGAGATATACGATTCCTTCAAAAAATCCTTAAAAAAGTTAGGCCTCATTCGGCATGGTCAAATAGTTTTTAATAAAATTAAAATTAAAATCAAAATTAAAATTAAATTAAATTTTAAAAATACGTTTGGTATATTAAAAAAAAATAAAATTCTTACATTATTTCTGTTTTGGTATGTAAGACATAAAAATAAAATTATATTTAAAAGATAAAAATACCTCTAAAAATTAAAATTAAAATTAAAATGTATTACAATAAAATATTATATAGATGATAGATATTAAAAATAAAAAAATATTTTGTAAAAGAATATTATAAATATATAAATTATATAACACACACACATATTATAATTTATGTATATTTGAGAGAACGAGGAATGAAAGCACAAGAGCTGTGCATTTTGAATTGTCCCTATCGCAACCGTCAGTATGCTTGATTCTTCTAGTATTAATCATAAAGAAGCAAAGGCATAGTTGTCTTTTCAATTTTTATATGAGGATAAAATTATCTTCAAAAAATATAATTCCATAGAATTGTTTCAATTTCATAACTCCTACCAAAGAATCTAATTCAACCTTTTTTTTTTGAATCAAGATTCTTGAGAATTTAAATTTACATGTATCAAACATTAATGTTTTATCATTCCAGCCCTAATTCTTTTTCCAAGCTTATGATTTCACTCTATCAAACATAGCCTTGAGAGGTCTATTTTAATTCTAGTGGGTTACCCGTGTCAACCCCATATAAACTTTTATATATATATATATATATATATATATTCTTGCACCGGCTTTTTTAAACGTTTTAATAGATATAGGCAAAAAATATGGTAAAAGGTACCACCTGTGTGAATGATTTCCCAACATTGTTCTTCAAGTTCCACTCGAAAAATTGATGACATTATGATGATCGTATTCAAGTAGATCATCGACGGTTAGCTGCAGAATTCCTGATGATCTGTTACCTACAGTTTCCCAATGCTATACTTAACATTTAGGTCTCATTTGGTTATGAGAAAAAAATTGATTAAAAAAATTAAGATAAAAATAAATTAAATCACCCTTTCTCTTATAATAATTACGATAAAATTCATTAATATATATTATAAATATGAGAGTTATCAAATGTTCTAAAAATATCATGAATCTTGATTTTTAATTTCATAAACAAAAATTACCCTTTTTCCTTAAAATGTACTTATTTATCTCCTTTAATTATCTTATTTTTATTTTAAATTTTTTAATTCATTTCATTCAATTTTTTTTCAGTAAGCAAACAAACCCTTAATGTTTACTTGTGTCTGAGATGTGTATGTTTGTGTCAACATTCCAATTGAGGGATAGTCAAAAATAGGGAAAATTAGGGGAGAGGGATCTACTACTAAAATTTATTATAAAAAATTATAAAAAGTAAAATTAGGATGAAGGAACAATGAAAATGCAATTGATTATTATAACCTTAATATAAAATTTGTGAGCTTTATAATTAACATAAGGTGCTGTCCGAATTACAAAAAAAAAAACTCTTTTAAAAATAAAGTTGTATAGTTTTCGATTTCATACCCAAAAACCAAAAAATTCTATTAAATGTAATTAAAATAAGATAATTCAAAAAAATTTACTTTTAAAGTAATTATTCAATTTTGTCAAGAAAGCTGTCTCAATTTTTGGACTCTTGAATTCTTAAGAAAGATGATATTATTAAGTTGCTGATTTTCTTGGGTATTAATCTAGCTATTTTAGTTTGTTGTTTTTTATCTCCTTGTTATATAAAAAATAAGTTTTTTTTTTCTCAAATAACATGTTTGTATTAGTAACTGTATTCTTCTTATATTAAAAAATAAATTTTTCTCAAATAATATGTTTTTGTTAGTAACTGTTCAATACAATATGTGAGATGTGGTTAAAAAAATTTAGGAGATATGATTAGGGATAATGTAATATTTTTAAAATTATATTTTAATATTTAGTCCTTTTAAATAATAACTATTCTTAATGTCCTCTCCAATAAATATTAATTTTTTCAAGTTCTTTGTTATACTTTTTCCTCCGAAGTAATCTGTTTTGCATTTTTGGATCTCACGAATTTTTGGAATCATTTGCACGAAGGATCTTAATGCACTGAGGGATGACTTAATGGAGTTGAAGCCCACATTGTTCGCTGGAGTCCCGCGTGTTTTTGAAAAAGTTTACGAAGGCAAGTTTTTCTGTAGAGTCGATAGTTTAAGCAAATTGGACTCAATTTATGATGAATTTATTTAGATCAAATTTAAATTATTCTATCATTTTAAAAAAATTTATATAGTTAAACTCATTCTTAACTTTTTGAATAGATTCAGGTTAACTAATCAAGTTTCGTTAAAATTACCAAAGTTATATATATATATATATATATATATATAGTTAGAAATTTTAGTGATTAAGTTTATTTGAATTGAGCTCAATTCGAGTCGAATTTATTTGAATTAAATTTAAAGTATCCTACCCTCTTGAAAAAACTCATATAATTAAGTTAGACATTTATTTTTTAGGGTAAATTTTGATTGACTTGTCAAATTTGGCTCGAATTATCAGCATTAATTGTGTGTGTGTGTGTGTGTTTTTTTTTTTTTTTAAATTCAGGAAAACTGATTCAAAATCGACTTATGTGCCAGGAATCAAGAGTGCAGTGGCGGAACTCAATCCAATAAGGAGAACAGTATTCGGATGGCTCTATAATTAGTAAGCTGATAATTTAGTATATTTCGAATTCATCTTCGGCAACAGAGTACTAATCATGATGATGATATCTGAATTATTCAAATTTTAATTTTATTGGTCCAAATTTAAAATATTATTTTATATTTATTAAAATAAAATTTTAAAAATTATAAAAAAATTTAATAAATCTTTTTGTCATCAATCTGGGTTAGAGTTAATTTGAAGAGCCCAATTTAATATTAATTTTTTAAATTTTTATATATTAGCTTTCTAGATATGCCTTTGTACATTTCAGATTTAAAAATTTTAACTTATAATTTTTTATAAAAAATATTTTTTCAAAAAAGTGCCAGTTTTATATCTTTTAATTTTTAATATTGTATTTATCAAAAGGCTAAATTGGCTCGCTGGTTAAAAAATCTTGTACTCAAAAAATATGAATCAATTTTTTAAAATTTAAAAGTATGTTTACATTGATATATAAAGAATTTATTATTAAAAATTTAAAAATTTACAAAAAATTTATTATTGATATATAACAATATATTTTTAACAAATATAACAAACCAATCATAATGCAAAATATAATAAATGTTGAATTATTTATTTAATTTGAACTTATAATATAGATTATATAAGTAAGAGACCCTTATCAAAATAAAAATTTATTAAAATTATAAAATATTTTAATATTAAATTAATATTGTTCAAAGTATAATTGAATAATTAATATATAAAAATTATAAAAATTTAATATTAAACTGGACCTTTAAAATTACATCTAAACTAGATTGATAATAAAAATTAATTTTTTTATGATTTTTATATATTTTTATTTTAATAAATATAAAATATAAATATAAATATAAATAATATTTTAAATCTAAACCCAAGATGGACCCATTTCGTTTCGCATATGTTTCCATGCCCTTTTCTCGGGGTTTGATATTGATATGTACTTTACGTTTGTGCCGTGACACAGCAAACTTGGTTGGATGAAGGAAGGATATAAACACAGCGAAGCATCACGTTTGGCAGATCTCTTGGCCTTTAGAAAGGTTGTACACTATTCATCATAAAATCATCTCACTTGATAATTGTTGCCTCTTATCTTAAACAAGTCAATGACATAGATGACTTGTTGTGCCACGTGGGATTCAAGGTCAAAGCTCGGCTAGGGGGACGTGTTCGGCTTATAATATCTGGAGGTGCAGCCTTGAGCACTGAGGTCGAAGAATTTTTGCGCGTAACTTCTTGTGCCTTTGTATGTCAGGGCTATGGTAATCATATCTCTTTATTAGTACCATAAACTACATTGAACGATATTAGAGTGAATAATTTAAGTCAAGTTTGATGGAACAACTCAAATAAATTTAAAAGAAATTTAGAATTGAGTTTAAAAAATTTCCATATTTTTTTATAATTAGGACTTATTTGGATTGATTGGAATATGTCTGAAAAAATTAGGCTAACCTCAATGGAGTTTAGGCTTTGGATGACTGATTGAATAAATATTTATTTTTTAAAAAAATTATATTAAATATTAATTAATTCTTTCATTTTGAAGTTATTTTGTACTGAGAAATCATATATCTTAGTACATTCTCATAGATATTTTCTCAAAAAAAAAATAAAAAATTAATATTTTTATATTTTAATTATTTTCAATCTATAAAATAACTTAAATTTTAAGGCATGCAAAATTTTTTTAAGTATTTTAAAAAATATATTTTATTTTTTATTATAATAAAAAATAATTAATTTTAAAATGAAAATTATATTTTTTAAAAAAATAATAGAAAATGACAATTCAAGTATTAAAGTTTGGCTGGATAAGTTTAGGTTTATTTGGTCGGTCAGAATAAGTTCGGCTTGCTTAATTATTTTTTTTATTTTATTTTTTGAGGATATCATGTTTTCCACATAAGCTAAACTAAATCCTATTGGTCATGATCATGATGAATAGTATTCGGGGTGAATCCAGGTCTGACTGAAACTTGTGGGTCAACTACTCTGGGATTTCCTGATGAAATGTGCATGATCGGTACTGTTGGAGCTGTGTCCGTATACAATGAATTACGGCTAGAGGAGGTTCCAGATATGGGCTACAATCCTCTGGGAACTCCTCCATGCGGTGAGATATGCGTCAGGGGCAAAACTGTATTTACCGGATACTACAAGAATCCCGACCTGACCCGAGAAGCCATTCAAGATGGCTGGTTCCACACAGGTCCTTTCGTAAACTCCTTTTCCTTCTCAGAAAATACCAATTAAGGACCCATGAGATTATTAATTACAATTAAAGAATTTAAAATATTGAAATTTTAATAATGAACCATGATTATTATTTAAAATTAAAAATATATATGAGTTTATAAAATTATTTCTGAGTTTTGAAATTATTATTATGGGTTGAAATTATTATTACTTTTAATTGGGAAAATCAAGATTTTAAGTGTTATGAATTAAGATTATTGAAATTACTATTATGGATTGGTACAATTATTTATTTCATTTTAGGATTAACTATTATGAGTGATACTATTATTAATCACATTCTAAAGTATGGATTCTAGTTTTTCCAACTAAGATTAACAATAGTCCCAACTCATGATAGTAATTTTAGAAATGTTTTTGCTTGATTTTTCAAGGAAGGATAATTTTGAAAACTTATATATGTTTTTAATTCCAAATAAAAATCATAGTTCATTATTGAAATTTCAATAATTTGAGGTCCTTATTTGTAATTAATAGTTTTATGGGATCCTTAATTGTCATTTATTTTTCCTTTCCTTTTCCTTTGTCTGGTTTATTTTGAGGCCATCTCACTGTGTCAGTTGCTGACATGCTCAGGGGACATAGGAGAAATGCTTCCTAATGGCGCTGTCAAGATCATTGATAGGAAGAAGAATCTGATAAAGCTCTCTCAAGGAGAGTATATTGCTCTGGAGCATTTGGAGAACATCTATGGAATCACTCCAATTGTTGAAGATGTAAGTGCTCACAGTCACATTGGTCACCAGTTCAATCCTTACCAGACACACTGTGGAATAATAGCTTGTAATTAACTATTAGTTGGTATTTTTGAATCAAGATATGGGTTTATGGGGATAGCTTCAAGTCAATGCTGATTGCAGTAGTGGTACCGAATGAGGAAGTGACCAAGAAATGGGCATATTCAAAAGGCCACACTGTTCCTTTCTCACAGCTATGTGGTCTTGACCAACTGAAGAAACATGTGCTGTCTGAGCTCCACTCTACTGCTGAGAGGAATCAGGTGACACCCGTTGGGATTAATGCTATTGAATTAGGAGTGGATTTCTCTAATAGTTTTTATAATATTCCAATATTTCAATTTTATTTTTTCATTTTTTTTGAATCATTGGCTTTTATATAAAATAAGAAACATTTCCATACCTTGAGGTCATAAAATGATGGATTTTTGCATTTTCTATGATTTTTTTAAAATCACAATTACACTCTTTTATTTTTGAAAAATTGTAAAAACAAAATTTTAATTTTTTAAAATTTTAAGATATGAAAATGTCGCTTATTTCATGTAGAAACTAATATTTCAAAGAAAAAAAATTAAAAAGTTAGGACATTACAAAGAATATTAAAAAAAAGTTCGTTATAGAGTGGTATCATAATTGGATTAGATTGATTGGTTTGATCGGTTGAATTGAAAACCAATTATAGATCCAGTCCAATTACAACAAAAAACTGCTCATTCTACGAACTGGTTGAACCAATTAAAATTGACAAAACTGGTGGACAAACTCGTTGAACTGGTCTTGCTATTTTTATAATTTTTAATTTTTTTAAAAAATTTAATTCATATTTTTAAACTAATATTTATGCCTAATATGTATTGATAAATGAAGAAAAATGAAAAAAGGCAATAAATATGTATATATGTATGTATTTTAAACTTATAAATCATAAATTATGAAAAAAGTATATATATTTTGGATTAAAATGATGGAATATTAATGGATATTACTTATTTTATTTTATATTATTTTGTTTGAAATTAAAAAACGCATTTTTATTAATATATATAAATATTTTATTTTATTTTAAATATATATTAATTTATTCATGATTGATTGAATAATGATTTAAATTATGGTTCGATTATTAAATTGTGAATCAATATTTGAACTGATTTAATGGGCAGTTCAATTGTTTATAACATTAATAGAAAACCTTAGCCCAATGGGCTCCCATTTTCTTTAAATTTCCAATCCTATGCATGTCTTTCTTTGTCTCTTCCCTGTATCAACAATTCTTCTCTCCTGTCAAAATTAGCTCAAGGGCTTTGAACGCATCAAAGGAGTGATTTTGGAACCCCTTCCATTCGATATGGAGAGAGATCTAGTGACTGCCACGTTGAAAAAGAAAAGAAATATCCTGCTTAAATATTACAAGGTACCCTCCTTTCTTTTTTTTTTTTTTTGTCGGCATCAATATAAAATACATTGAAATCCATTTTTTTCTTGTTTCTTTATAGGATAAATAAATAAATTACTTTTTAAATTTTAAATCCAGTATTATCTTAGACCTTAAATTTTTTTTATTGTGCAAATTGTTCTCTTAATTTTGAAAGCAGTGCAATTTAGCTTTTATCATTAACAAAATTAACTTTGATTATTAGTTAATAAAAAAATGATAGAAAAGGACTCAAAAAATTATAGAAAAGGACAAAAAAAAGGGGTCATTGTCTATAATTTTTTAATCATTTTTTATAATTTTTAAGATATTTTTCTGTCATTTTTTAAATTACCCAACAGTCAAAATTAATTTTTATTAACAATAAATATTAAATTGTATTGTTTTTAAAATTAAAAAAATAATTATATAATAAATAAATTTAAATATATGATGGTACTTGATATAAAGGCTTGTTGTTGTTGTTGTTGTTGATGGTACTTGATATAAAGTTTATGGATAATTTAATTACCCTTTTTTATGTGCAGTCCTTATCTACTTACAAAATGCTCACATTATCTTTCCATTTACCAGGAGCAAATAGATGCACTATACCAAGATTTGTCGGGAGATAAGAATAAAAGATAAAGGCCATTTGTGCTAGTCTAAATAAGCCACGTGTACTTTTCTTTTTATGTCAGATCAAACTATGTTTTGTATTCTCTTAAATTATATTCAATGCATTGCGTGGTAAGTTGTAACTAAAGATCAGTGATCACGCATTGTAAACGCAAAAAAAAAAAAAAAAAGTGAGCATGTATAACTTAATCATCTTTAAATGTGAAATATTTAATCAATATTTATTTTAGGATTTAAATTTTTTGAAGTTGAGATTGGTGAATTTAGGTGAAGTTTTTTTTTTCCTAATATTTTTGCTCATTTTATTATTTATTTTATAAAAATATTTTATAAAAAGATCTTCTCTCGCTTTATTAAAAAAAAAAACTTCACCCAAATTTACTAATTCTAACTTCAAAAGGATTTAAATCCTTTATCTCAAACTATTTGATGTGGACAAGCTGAATTACTGTAGGTCAAATCAAATAGTTTGTGAACATTTTCACTGGATCTGTTTTGAGCATGATTTTTTACGCGTCCATAAGTTCAAGGTTGTAAAATTATGTTTGTCAAAAATGCAACAAATAACATTATCAACTCCCATGCATGTCCGTAGTAGAAAATTCCTGCCGTTTAGAATATTCATTTTAGTTTGAGGAAAAAAAAATTAAATCAAACCAAATCAATTGGTTTATTAAAATTTAAGATTTATATAATTTTTTTCTCTAGTAAATTTGGTTCGATTTTTAAGTGGTTTGAGTTATGTTTGGTTCATATTTACTAATAATTTTTACCTATTGGTTATTATTTTCAACAAAAATATTTCTTGAGGACAACAGAATATTTTTTTTAAAATAATTGGTTGGCAATATTTAACTGTTAAAAATTAGTATACATATTATATTCAAAATACTTGATCACAAATTTAAAAGAAATTATCAAGAACAATTATAAAAAAAATTAGTTAATTATAATATATTTTTTATTAGTGATTTACAAATAACTAAACATAGGAATGAGAAAACATCTAAATCAATTTATAAAAATATATAAAATAAATATAATAATGTTTGATTCGGTTAAAATTTGAACGAAACCTAATTAAATCAATCGGTCCTTGTTAAAAAAAAATCAAATCAAACATTATTTATAATTAATTTTGATCAATTCATTTCAATTCAATTTATTTGATGTAATTAATTTTGATCGATTTTAAACACCCATACTAGTGTCTAGGTGAGGTGAGCTACCTGTAAAGAATATCCTACTAACATAGATTTTCTTATGTTGATATAGCAATCCCTACTGTTGAAGTCTATGCTGCGTAACTTCAGGTAAAACTAGACCATCAACAGTGAACATGTGATGTAGTGAGGGTGGGCACTTGCACTGACCCCCTCATTTTTGCAAAAATTACATGCGAGACGTATAAAATTTACCTTTTCTGACCTTACTAATTTTAATATTTTGACCCCATTAAGTTGTAATTTTAATAATTTGCCGTCTTGAATCCGCCACTACAGGCCATGATATGCAGGTGCAGTATTTGTTATCTAACATTAGCAGCTGATTTAAGGGATCATCCTCTTAAAAGGCACATACACACAAAATATGTACCTCACTTCAAGGAACATATTCACAGCAAATAGTTAAAAATACAAAAGGAATGTTGTAGAAATGAGCGCTTGCTATTTTGCCTGTAAGTTGGCACAAATTCAAGAGAGTGAGATGATCTCCACCAATGTGCCAAACCTAGCTTTCAATTCATCCACTACTTTTTATGCCTCCCTAGGGGTTGAAAGAAAAAGCAGTTAGGTACTCTTTTCATCTCAATAAAACAATTTTAAAAAAATTTTATTGTCTCAAAATATAAGACAATTTAAAAAAGATTTAATTAATAATATTTTTTAATATTACCCTTCAAATAGAGAAAGAATTAAAATGATGGTAGTATAATGATTATTATATTTTAATGTACCGTTTTTTGATACCCCTTGTAATGAACAAGCAAGGGCTTTTAAAGTACCTTTAATAGCTTTTATAATATTTCAACGTCTAAATTTCATTTTGTTTTGAATAATTGGCTTTTACATGAAATAAAAAAAAATTTGACATTTTAAAGTTCCAAAAAGATGAAGATTTGTATTTTATATGATTTTTCAAAAATAAAAGGTTGTAATTGTAATATTGTTCTTTACAAAAATCATAGAAAATATGAATCTTTATCATTTCAAGATTTTAAAATATTAAAATATTTCTTATTTTATATAGAATCCAATGATCCAATGAAAAAAAATAAAATTAAAAAGTTGAGATATTATAAGAAATATTAGATAAAGACATATTACATGCCTTTGCCCATACCCAGTAAGTAGTCAAATATCAACAACACATGAACAAGACTATCTATGGCAACATGCACAGTTGCTAGGCCTCTATTTCAATTTCCTTGGCATTATGGTGGGACTCAAGTATGGAGATAGACCATGAATGAATTTAAAATAAGAATACATACAAGCATCTAAAGATTGAAAGAATTTCATTCAAACAGTTCAATTCATGTACCATCCTAAACTTTTTGATTTCAGCAATAATACTGATTAAGGGATGAATTAATGAACTAATGTGAAATTAGGATTCTGCATGGTGATATATTATTTTGAGTCTTTGGGATAATGTATGAATAGATATAAGTAGAAGGATGATGTTGAGAAGCAGAGTGTGTGAGTGCGATGAGGAATTTCCTCACTGTACCACACGCCGCAGCGCATGGCATAGAATTTAGATAAGTAAGGACATAGAACTCATGGAAAATAAAAAGGAGATCAGAGAAAGAGAGATTAGGCGTGGAGAAGAAAGGGTGGTCTATTAAGGCAATGAAAATCGGGATCAAGGACAACGTTTCTAACTTATTACTTATTGAGTAAGTCTCATACTATCTTAACCTCCAATTCTATCCTTTTTCTCTTAGTTTAAACTAAGAAAATTGAATTTGAAAGTTTTAAGGAGTTGATTTCTTACCTTATAGTAATAGAAAGGTTTTTAGAAACTAAATTAGAATTTTGCAACTAGTTTGAGTCAAAACGATAAAGCTTTAAAACTATAGGCTTAAGTTAACCTAATTTAGAGAGAGAGAGAGAGAGAACTGAAAGAAATTGGATAGAGGTGTGTTAATACTTGAATTGAGAGGTGATTAGGTGTAAAGAGATAAATGTGAATAGGGGAAATGATAACGAGTAGGTACGTAAATTGCTGTAATTAACACTTTTAGCTAATAAGGTAATTGACTACAGATGCCTCAATTGTGCAGATTCTCGTGTGAGACGTGTTGAAATCATGAGGAGGAGTTGAGTAAGGTTTTGGTACATGGGTTACCTTTTCTTGCAAACAAAAGGTTGAAGTAACCATAGAGTTTGTTATATTTATTAGCTATTATAACTGTGTAAAAGTGATTGTATGATTGTTAAATCATTGTTTTATTAGTTTCTATACATGATTTTGTTTCATTTGATTTTAGCATTAAATGGTTTTATAAAATGAAAGTTCAATGATTATTGGCTTTGACTAATCTAAATATATGTAAGTGTCTGTGTGTGTGTGTGTGTGTGTGTAGGGTAAATTATGGAAAATAGTGATATGTGTGTGAGAAGCATGATCATAGGAGGTGGGAGTTCACCCAGGAAATGTATGGATGTGCGTGTGTGTGTGGAGATGTGAGTGAATAAATTCATATAATTAGGCTGGCTCCATGGGACATCCAGTATAACATTTTAGGGCTAGTACTATAGGTAATCCAATACAGCATTATATTAAGATTATTACCATGGAACACTTGGAAAGTCTAGCAACTCCCTAGTGCTCGTTAGGGTGTGGTTAGGAGTTAACAACACCTTTATCACAAGTATGTGAGATGTGGGAAACCATAATCCATAGGTAGGATAGATTACTTTTAGTTGAGTGTTTCTACCACTGAAAGTGTGCTCAGGTCAATACACCATTGATCCAGTAAAGCCTATGGTTTCGTGTCGAGGAACATTGGAGGCTCGATGGTTAGATGATCAATCTATTGTGGTAACTGTGTAGAAATGCTTTGGAAAGAGGAAATTCTATATGTTTTTAATATATATATATATATATATATTTATATATATAAGCTATTACTTTAGTTTTGTTACTTTGACATAGTTATTTGTGATAATAGACATTCAATGAGCTATATTGGTTAATGAAATTATTATCTCACCCATGGTTATTTATATTTTTCAGGTTCTGACACTAGTAGTGCAAAAGGAAAGGAAACATGTTGAATAAAGATTCCTTTGAAAAATCCATTGTAAATTGATGTAATAAATTTGGATATAAATATATATATATATATATAGTAGTGTTTATATATGTAAGTTGCCATAGAGATGGTTCTATTGTGCATTTACATGTTTAGTTGTAAATGTGATAAGTTTTGATATCCTATCCCATTATGTATATATGTGTGTATGTAGTGAAAATGGTAGTGCAGGCTAGTGGATGTGTTTATGTGTGTGTGAAAAGGCAATACATGTGTTATGTGAACTTTGGCCTGGTATGGTAATGAAAAAAAAAAGAAATGAATTGTGTCAAAATATATGCAATATAGTAGTTTATAGGCCAAATGTGTATGGGTGTGTTATATTGTTTATAAAATTATTCAATCAGGTGTACAATGTCTATTTAGATGCAGTCAAGAATTTAGAAATAGCCAATGACTTGTGGTTTTAAATGGTGATATTCAAGTGGCAAATTTTGACATAAAACATATCAAAATGTACTTGGGTGTTCAATTTTTAAACAAGAAATTAGATTTAAACAAAACCAATGTCATGGGTTAGATTACAAAACAAGCTTGATACTTCTACTATGTAGGGTTTTACAACTTGAGTATTTATGAAATTATTTTAGAAATGTTTTATATTGGGATTCCAATCCTTCAAAGTAAATGATTTTGAATTGATTAGTAGATTGTGTGGAAGGTTGTGTCAGAACTCACAACAAAGCAACATTGACATCCAAAGTCCAAGGGAAATCCATTCATAATTTCTCCCATCTTTGTTAAGTTATCATTATCATCCAGAGCAACTGAGTAACTGAATGCTTCCAATGCACACATCAAGATCTTGGAAGTATTGTTTTCAAAATCGAATCAGACCAGACAATCCAATCGCTACCTGCTAATCAAAATGGCTTGGTCTAACTACCGATATAGAATTTAGACTAGGTTGACTCGACTAGCTTTAAGAGAACTTGATCTGACCTAGAAATCAGAGTGGGTCAACTCAGGTCAAAGCAACAAAAAAAAATTCAGGCTAAGTCGCTCAAATTTATAATTTTTCTTTTCTAATATCTAGTTTTCTTTTGTGTTCTCTTTTCTAACCTTTGATCTTTCTATCCAAGCTCAACCTCTGACCTTTCCTCAAGTCTTTGCTTCCAGCTCTAACAATCTAGCCTTTAGTATTAAGATTGAAAGATTGTGAGTCATGACATGATGGCATGCCTTCAGCTCTAGCATTTTGCTTCAAGATCATGATCTTGTGCTGACATGCATCTGCCTTCAACTCCAAAGGTTTAGGTGTCTAGCATTTAGCATTGAAATCCCAAGTATCATTGATAAATTAATATTTTATTTATATTTTGTATATATAAATATTAATTTTTATTTTACTAGTTCAATCGCTGTTCTAATTAGTTGAATCATGAAAACTACGACCCATTACTCTTTTCAATTTGACTTTTGATCTGAGTTCCAAAACATTGCTTGGAAGCAGAGGATCCATAAAATCAAAATGCACTAAGTTATCTAATACCCAATTTTTTCAAGGTAACAACATTAGTGTTGGCATGACGTGTCTTTAAAATTTCAGGATAGTTTGGGGGCTAAAGTTCATTTTTGAAATTCTTCTTTTATTGTAAAAGTAAAAAAAATGCCAGGTCGAGTTCTTCCAGCACGCCCTGGTCTCTGGTGTGCACGAGCCTTTGATATTGGAGAGAGACTAATAAAGACTTAACGAACTCTAAACCTTTCGCTTAGAAAACCTAGGGTCAGTATCGTACACTGCACCATCAATTATAAAGGAAGTTTATGCTATATTTATCAATAACACCATCTTCCGTCAAGGGGCCTGTAATATTCAAGATTTTATTTTATGGATAATAAGTTAATTATAGATAATTTTGAGGTATAGAAAGGAAATTTCGTGGGATAGAAAATTATTATAAATTTATTAAGTAGCAAGTAATTTAGAAAATAAGTACTCCCTCTATTAAAAAATGTAAAGTATTTTTTGAGGGTTGTATGTTAAAAAAATATAAGATATTTTTAATTTTTTGAGGTGTAATTATTTTCTTTTTTTTTTCAAAAGTACTTCTATTGGTGAATGACTTTTATATTTATTGTAGAGAGCTTAATAAAGGTAAATATAAAAAGATAGGGTTAATTTAAAAATAGACAACTACTTTATTGAGGGGTGAAATTCGATTAAAAATGTAAAATATTTTTAAATGGAGGGAGTAATACACACACTATTATTGTTGTTGTTGAAATTGAATCCTTATAATTTAATCTGTTCTTGGTAAATTTTGTTTCTTAAATTATTTTACTTATTTTCTAAATTTCTTACTCCTGAATAAATTTATAATAATTTTTCTATGTTTCAAAATTACCTATAACTAACGTATTACTTAGATCCTAACCTAACCCGTAGAGTGAATTAAGAAATTACCATGGCATAAACTGTAATACAGCTCCACCAACGTCTTAGCCAAATATTTGATAGTTCCTACTCCTCTTTCATGCAACGTGGCTAAGTAAATTGACACTTGCAACTCTAAAACAATACCCCAAAAAAAATAAAAAACGATATTGCAACTGATCCACGTAATATTGATTTCAGCACATAGGGGCAATCAAATCAATCCGCATAAATCATTGTTGGTTAACCTAAGCTGATTGCCAAACATATATAAACACACTATCATAAATATTGTAACATTGTTAAAACTGTTAATATGGATAACAAAGTATTAGTGATAGTCATGTAGATTAATAAAAAAAAATAATTATTTAGGTAAGAAAAAATGGATTCTGAAATTTTTAAAAATAAAAGAACAAAATATAACATAAGAGACTAATTTGATAAAAATTAAACTAATTTAAAGATTAATTTATTCTCATTTCATTAAATATACATGTCAAGCCGTCAATATACTTTACATATCAAATTAATTTGAGAATCAATTTGTGTTTTAAAATTTAAAAAAACTAACATTGTAATTTTAAAAATGTAAAGAATAAAATTGACAAAAATTAAATTTAAGCTATTAAATTAATAACCGAGACAAATTTTCAAGACTAAAAATTTCATGATCCCAATATTTTGTCATAAAAAAAGATTGTTGCAAATTGTCCTTCTTGTATCCCTTCCTTCATATATTGTCACACCTCAACTTTTAATAATCTATCCTGGCATCGAACTTAATACTTTTTAGCTAGCTGGATCTTATATTGGTCGATTAATTTATACAGGGCATTAAAAATTTTCCTTTGTACTTAATAATGCCTTCTGATGTCCCTTTTAGGCGTATTATGAAAATTTGAGTGAACCTGTCCAGTTAAATCAGAAAACCATTTAATTAACATCTTAATTGGTTTAATAAAATACTTTATTTATAATCAATTTAATCATAATTTGACTACAATTTTAATTGTTAACCCTTAAATCAGTGACTTAATCAGTTCATGACTAGTCTAGTTTTCAACAACTTGCTTCTAAGGTATAGTCTTTTATCTCCCATTAATCAAAAGCTTTTATTTTAAGCATAATCATCAAAGGACTACCCCATTTTCCCGGTAATCCAAATAAGTCTCAAAATAGGCATTAGCTGTAGAGAACTTCAAACCAATATTATCATGGGCATTCATAATAAGAATAAAATATGAATCAAAACTGAATATTCTCAATTACAAAATCAATATCCTATAACAACATAAAAAACAATTTTCTTTTCATACCACATCACTACATTTTCTATCTCATACTTGCTCTATTTAAAAACAAAAAAAAAGACAATTCAACTGTCAAGTCAGGCGGTGGAAGGTAGGTAAAGTTGAACCCAAGCATATTCTTCTTTGTAAGCCACAACGGAGTCACAAGATGCTTCACATGCAAACACGACAATTGAAGCCCAATCCATAGAATCCACCTCATTGTCCACGCCTAAGTAATATAGTAGCTGTGGCAGAACCTAGCGCCAACATTCACAAATTAGTAACCAACAAAGAAACAACCACCCTTATCCCACTGTAGGTGATTATATGAATTGTATGATACTACTATGTTCTATTAGCAACTAAACCTTTGAAAATATTGTTAACCCTAATATTTTGCTCAACTTCCAAAAATGTTTTCTTTAATCTTCTTTTACCTCTCTTAACAGGATTCAATATTATCTATTTCACTCAATCAGAATCTCTCATGATATTTTTTATACATATTCAAACCATCTCAAACGATAGCTTACCATCATCTCAATATGGATTGTATCTTTTCATGTATTCTCATACATCTATCTTAACATTTTTATCTTAGTTATAAATTTTATAACAATATCTCGAACATGAGTAACAAATTGTATATACATTGGGTTTCCATCAACGAATCCTCGAAATCTTACCTGAAACTCACAAGACATAGAACCACCACAGTAACTGCATTTAGGGATGTCAGCTTTAGATGGTCGACCACTTGAAACAGGCCATATGGGTCTTGCATTAGTATTTTTATAATACCTGTTGTTTACAAAATAAGCTATTAAAAATGCAAGAAAAAAAGTATAGTGTACAATGAATAGCGGCAAGACTAGCCAAAATTTCCTCAGACAGGTAAAACTCGTTCATGTTTGTCATCACACCTCTTACTGCCATTAGATCAAAGTATTGGCAAGTGTAGATATTTAAATTGGGTAATCTAAGTTTCTGACATTGTGACTCCAAACATTCACACCAGTTATTGTCAGGTTACATAATGCAGCATAGTCACAACCGTTAATCTGTTCATAATATAAGTATCATAAATGCCATTCTAGACCAGTCGGGAAAAAATCTCTCACTTTCAAGCTTTTTTATCACATCAAGATGCAATGAATTCTGTTCACCAAACATTGCTGGGGTGCTTGAAGCAATTCTCCAACAGAATTTCAGTCAGTTAAGCAATAATCACCTCAATATTTGTTCAGGGGCTGAAGCAATACGCTCCTGGAAGTAGACCCAACTCTTTTTGTCATCATCACCCTGTTCACAGGCCCAAAAAACAAATGACAAAGAATGCAGTTGCATATAAACTATACTATCAATTACAGGTGAATTTGAGGCAATACCTGAAAATTCTCCAATATGGAATTCATTGCGTCATCGATTCTGTTCTTTGAGATCAAAGAACTAGTTAAAGCATTGCTCTCAGAAATGTCTGTGTTATCACTTTCATCTTCAATAATGATCTCAAATTCAGGCCACAGAGTGTTGCTAGCACCTGTATTGCATAAAGAATGACTGTTAAACATGCAAAAATTTAAATATCACAAAATGCCTCTAGACAATAGCTCTCTACAATGAATGTTTCTACGTGACTTTTATTGGACTAATTTATAACGATTTTATGCCTTGGAGTTTAACTAGTTTAACATCATCATTATAACTGGTTTCTTCACATTTGGAGTTTTCAAGGATGTGACCGCAATTTTCATTTCTCAACAACCTTGTATGCCCCTGTAATAGTCTACAAAGCTTTAGACCACCAACCTTTCTTAGACTCGGCTGAAATGGTTCTGCAGTTGTTGGGTCCAGATGTAGCTGTAGGAGAAGAAATTTTCATCTGCGGACAAGCAATTTTATGACCAGAACGCCAATGCCTGACCTGAAAGTTGAATGAGAAAAGGAGTTTTTTACTAATCAAATTTATAATTAGAGAACTAAAACAAATTTAAGAAATAGTTACCTGGTGCTTCTCAGAGCAATACCGCACTTGTCTACAACTACTGCAGAGTTTATCTCCTTTCCATGTACCACACCAATCACATAAAGCAGCTAAAAGTTCAAAGAAGCTGGTCAACACATTGTTCATTTATTCCAATTACTTCTTGAGGCATTAGTAAGAGTTAATCCAATTATAAATATATAGATGAATGTAGGCAATACAGATTGTCATTAAATTTAGTTTAGAAAAATGCAGGTAGAACATGCGTTACAGCACCAAAGAAAGCAAAGTAATGAGCGACTCATTCAGGCTAATAAATTTGACTTAACTGAGGTTGAAATGTAACATTAAGCAGAAAGGCAGATGGCAATTAGCATATGAATCATAAAGTATTTTGAAATCACAATGGATTCTTTGAATGACTCACCCCACTAGCATGCAATCAGGGACAATAATGTTCATAAATCAACATAAACTAAGAAATCCAACAAGTACAGCCCCAAAGCAGCATTCTATCAAACTATACCACAAAACATTATCAATCCAACATAACATGATAGCTCTTCATAGTTAGGAATTCACTCTCTGTCCCCCAAAACATTCATAAATCCATATAAGCACTATCTTGTGTTTTAAAAGGTAGCAAATTTTGCTTCCAAGTGTGCAGAAAAAATAAGTTAAAACTTGCATGAATTCTCGTAATAAAATTTTAAGATTGCTTTGAGAGTTAATGATTCTAGCAAAATGAAATAGATTTTTTGCCCTTCAGGGAGAAAAAAGGAAGCATAATAGAACTGACCTCCACTGCCAACAGGTTTGTCACTCCCATCATATTTAGGACGTTCACTGGAGTAAAAAGGATTATCACGTGGTAACTGGCAACGGAAAACCTTCACACTTCAGAGTGCATAGCATAATTAGAACTATGCAACAGGAAAACGAAGTGAAAGGAAGATTTGTCTCATAGTCATAGCTAATGAAAATTGATCAAAGAACGCAAACAGCAAAGAGATTAAGATTTGTCAGCAATACCTTCTAGATGGCTTCTCTGGATGACGTTTCCATTGCTCATGCTGATCCCTAAGAAGACATTTCATTGAAGGACACACGAAAACAAATAACATCCGGTGAAATGTACTTTCCTCTTCAGTTGGCGCATAAACCTTGTAGTACAAAGGTTAAAGAAAATCATCATCCACCAGCAAAACTCAGCCAAATAGACACGTACTAAAGAAGATGTAACAACAATTTAGAGATAATTTCAAGAGTAAGGATATATTTCATCAAACTTGGTAATAAATATTGGCCATCAAAACTAAAGATTGCTCAAAAAATAAGAAAGTCATAAACTTATAAAAGAGGCATTAGCTTCATAAGGAACCTACCTGGAGAAGAAATTGCAAAGGCTCTCCACATATGTCACATGTACATGACCTTCCAAGCGGTATATTTACTGGGTCAAGCCAAGCCTATTTATAAACAAATAAAACCATCAAGTCATAAATTAGTGTTTCACAAACAAAAAATTTTATTTTTTATTTTTTCAAAATATGCAAGGCTTGAATAGCTTCTTCTTTATCCTTATTCCCATAACACACACACACACACAAATTAACTTCCTCTTCCACCTTCTCACCCTCATTTTCTATTGCAATCAAAAAAGAATTTGATCAAATAATATATTTACCGGGGCACCTCCAGCTTTGCTTGGAAAATATTGCCGTTGAAGAGACCATTTATTTTTAGGTTTCTCAACGAAACCTAAAGTAATAGGGTCTTCCTCCTCCTCATCGTTAGAGTCATATTCTTCATGCTCATCATCAATATGGACCTCTTCATCATCATTATCATCAAGGGATGAGATTTGGACACCCTTAAGCTTCTCTGTGGGATCTGCAATGACATTGACATCCATATTCATCCCAAATAGCAGTTAACTGCCAAGTGTGCTGTGTCTTCCCGATTACTTGATGCAGAGCAAGAGTAGGTAAAAAGCTCAAACTAAATGGTTTGAACCACAACAGCGATCAGAGACCTAAAAGGTTAGGCAGATTAGGGGAAAACAATATAAGGAAAAATTAATCGCACAGTTGTCATCTAGTTAGATTTAAAACCAAATATATGCAGAACTGATCCAGCAAAAAGATCACAGCTGAGCAGCACAAATATATCATCATACCAGTAAAATTGATACGACAGCAAAGAGGGAGGTTGGTTTACTTTCAATTCATTGTCATTTCCTTCTGTAAAGAACACTTTCTTCTCTAACTTATTCAAAGAATGTAAGGACGCTAGGTAATCATCACAAGAGATGACAAAACAGAGGTGAGAACAGAGATAAAAAAATACAGGCAAAACCTGGAAGCACAATAGAGTGTAAGAGTGTGAGCTTTGTGGTGACGGCGAGCTGAGGATGCACAGATAAGTGTGAGACTGAGGGTCAGAGACAAGATGAAAGCATGAAGGGTGAGACGATGAGTGATGTTGAGGCTGGAGACAGGCCCATAGTGGCATGGGAGCACTCAATTAGGTTTTCAAAGTTTACTCAAAGAATGATGACAAAAAGACAAGGTACCTGGTCATTACAATGCGTCAAGGGTCAATGATTCAACCAAGTGTCAACTTACGATTAGACAGGTCATCACTAAAATAATATAATTTAATTAAAATATACAAAAATATTCATATTTGACTATGAAAAAATTAATATTAATATTTAAATAAAAAACCATTAATTCTCAAGTAAATGGAACAATACTACTCACAATAGTATTGGGAGTACGAATGCAAGTATTGGAATTAGGAGTTGGATTATCAGAATTGGGAGTGAGACTCTCATTTCCTTCAAAACTGGGATTACTCGCAATATCCATTTACAGTGACTTGTAGCTGTAACCATAGGCAGACCTATACTACACTCAGTGGGGGCAGTAAAAATCTTTGAAATATTTTTCCCTTTGAATGGAAAACGTGCTATTATAGCTGAAAAACAGATACAAGAGGAAATCAAAAGAGATCTTTCATCAACTACCACCCTAGATGAAGGGTGTTTTTTGATCAAAGATGTGCATGTTGTTTTCTAACTCGTGACATTTTCTAGCTAAGGAGTTGGCTATACAATTAGCCTCCCTAAACATAAAATTAGCGGTTACAGACCAGTCCCTATTCAAAAGTTTTATAATCTCTTCAGTGTTGTCTTGGTAGGGATAAGAGCCATTTTGATCTCTTGTAATTAAATTAAGAGCAGCAGCACAGTCACTGAATAGCTCCACCTTATTTAATCCATGATGCCAGCAGAATTCTAGACCAAGTTTGATTCCAAGAAGTTCAGCAATAGTTGGAGAATAGACACCCAACTTGCAGCAGAAACCAGAGCGCCAATTGTTATGAGAATCTGTAACCACACCTCCACAAGTTGCTAATCCATTTCTCGTAACAATGTCCACTCTCACAAAACCAGGTGAAAGGAGTTGCCAGTATGCTAGTGTTGAAGAATGCCTCTTTTATTACTGTTACCTTTCTCTAGAAGTTGCCTATCTACATAAGCTCTAGTTATACAATTTGTAGCATTTATAACAGGGATATTATCTTCCATTTCAAACAGTCACTTACACCTAAGTATCCTGAGTTCCCAAAAAACATAAGCATATAATTGGAACCAACGAACCTGTTTTGTTGTAGACATCCTGATTTCATGACGGGAAAAATCTTTGAAATATGCAGAGTTGATATAATATCCTTTTAATTTTTGTTCCAAATACATTGACACAATTCCAGCCATGTCATTTACAAGATCATACATCACAAATACCTCGAGAAATTCCAAAATTGATAATATAAAAAGATTAATAAAGAGAATGCCAATACACAACAAATCTAGCATTGCAAAAAAGCAATATCCAAATCATACAAGTCGCTAGTAATCAAAATGAAGAGGGAAGAAGTAATAGCCAATTAGACACCATTCATCCCAAATTCAAAGGCGTCAATATTCAACCATTACACGACCAGATTCGAAGACAAATTAAAATGAAAAATTTAAAACAAAGCAAGAACAGCACGCAGGGAACAGCTGACACGGGGAACAATTTCAAATATAGATTCAAAATCAGATTGAATAAATCATTTTCAGCAGATTTTGGGAGTAGAAAAAGCCCTACGGTTCGAACCTTATTCACTGCTTGCTCGAGAAGAACCACGCAGGGCTGACAACGGTGGACGGGGTCCTACAGGAATGGAGCATGGGATGGTTGTTCGTCGACGAAGAGAACGGTAGCGGCTATCACGAGGAAGGGTTTTATCAGGGGTTATAATTATTAATTTTAGGAAGAATTTGGTGTAGGAACGAAATTAATTATTCAAACTCTTGCCCTTCGTTAAAAAATATAAATTATTTTTTAAAAAATTAAATATTTAAAAATATAAAATATTTTTAACTTTTTAAAATGTAATTATTTTTTTTCTAAAAGTATCCCTATTAATAATAATTTTATATTTATTATAGAGTATTTAATAAAAATAAATATAAAAAAATAAGATTAATTTAAAAGTAGGTAATTACTTTATTGAGGAATAAAATTTAATTAAAAATATCTTATATTTTTAAACGGGAGAGTATTAAATATATTTTAAATTTTAATTTGTTATAGTAACACATAATTTTATATTAACGCAAAATAAATATATGAATAGTGAAGATAATAATTTAAAAATATATAGAAATGTAAAATAATAAAATAATTATTCTCATAAAATAAATAAATAAAATATCTATTATTTTACAAATTTTTTTGCTCAAATTATTTTAAAAATTTCGTTCATACGTAAATATATTAAACATTTACTAGTAATAAAATACAGATTTTGGCAAAACAAATGATAACAAAAATTTTATATTTTACATTGATATTTATTAAACTATATTAAACTAATTTTATATTAAATTAAAATTTATATTACTAGAACCAACTATGTTAGATCTAACGGAAGAAGCTAGTTTCTTATAACATGATAAATTAATATTTAAATCCTCACTTTGAGAGGTGTTCATGCTTAATGCTTAATTGTGTTTCGAATTTCTTTCAACAAGAGGATATATATGAGCAATAAAAAAAATTCATATTAATAGAAATTCTTGATTCTTTTCTATAATTTTTGATGTCATTTTTTTTGTAATTTTCTAGTAAATTATTTGTTAAAGTTAACTTTTATTAATAGTAGATATAACATTATATCGTTTTTAAGAGTTGAAGGGAGATATTATATAAAAAATAAGTTTAAAGTTATAGATATTTTTAGACTTATAATTTAGGAGCTAATTTTCCATTTAACCCTTATTTGTTTATGGACTAATTTGCTATTTAACCTTTATTTTTATTTGATAATTAGTCGGAAAACAATCGCTTACCAACACATGCGCATAATGTAAACTCAAATGTGGTTACCTAAACTCGAGTTTAACACAATAACTCGAGGTTTGATTTCCAAATAGAGCTTCTAAGAACCACCAATCAAACGAAATAGGAGCTCCCTAGTTAGAACTCCTTACAAGTTAGAAGCTACAAAGTTAAATCATGCAATCATGTTAAGATCTAGTTGGGGGAAAAAATCAAGTGGGGGAAAATAACACTAGAACCCTGATTGAATTCCTCTTATTTTCTAAGCCTAATTAACAAGTATTGATAGTGATTTATGAAAGTCTAACTAAATTGTTGTCCCAATCCCTCTCAATAAAGTGCTCAACTAGGCAGAAGTATCTTGAGTATACTTGTAACTGATTATGAAAATGTAAAAACTCAACTATCTTACTTTACTCATCCTAATTAACCTAAATAAATTACCAATTCGCCTCTTCAAGTCTCTACAAAAATGAAATCTTGGTGTTCTAGGAAACCTAACACGACAATTCACTAGTCTAGGTTCAATTAGAGTTTAATCAGCATTAACTATAGTTCCTAGAGTCATAACAACAACCTATTATCAATTCCTAACCAATTTCAACTTCTAAACAATGGAGAATTCAAATTCATAAAGGAGGAACATAAGCAACATGAATTTAGAGGGAAAAGAGAGATTAAAGGTTAGAGAAGGAAGGGAATTGCTTTCAATTCAAAAAACTCACTTAATTTGAACTATGGACACTTAGACAATTATTTTAGGCACTCTCTTAAGCTCTATTTAGTTGGGGGAAAATGGAGGGAAGGGGGGAGGGGCGCCCTTTCCCTTTCCCTCATTTGGTTAAAAAATTTTAGAAGGGAAGGAGCCAAAAATTTCCTTTCGCTGCCCTTATTTTGGCTCCCTTCAAATTAGAGTTTTTTTGAAGGGGAGCTAAATTTGTTGACTAATGTACTCTTATAATTTTTATTATATTCTCGTATTGCCCTTGGAAGAAAATAAGCTCACGGACATAGTTGGAGCAATTTTACATATCCCCGATTTTCCTAAGTAAAGAGAGACTGGAGCATTCTCGTTCTATCACAGATCCTTGTCTTCTTTGATTCTCCAGAGCTCCTACTGTGTGTCTTGTCTAGAGTGTTCAGAGCTCTAGTTGTGAGTCGTCCCATCAAATTCTTCGAAGCTCCCGCCCTATATCATCTCGTTGAATTGTGAGTTCTTCCCTGTTTTGTCGCCCTCTTTCGATCTTTGCTTAGTTATGGATCTGCTATTTCTCCATGCATTTTGTTTGATTTGTTTTGAGATTCATCTTAAGCACATGATCTTTGCTTTTGATTTGTCGCTTCCTCCTGTTCTGATTCACAGCTACTTGCTAATCGAATTCGCAACTTCTCAAGTTCTCTAGGAATTCTGAAGCTTCTACAGCTTTTACTTCCTAGGTGTTCTCCTAGAGTCCTCTTTTTATGCATTTTGCTCTACCAAGGTTTGGCTTCTTCTATTCTTGCTCTTTCTGCTTGATTAATAGGGCATGGGTTGATTCTCCATTTTGATGAATAAAATTTTTGTTCATCAATACATTGAATTAGGCCCTTAATTAAACTGATTTAAGTGTCAAATTTTTGGACTTCCATTTATAGTATCGTGAATATGTGATTATTGTAATCCTGATATTGTTTGAAAGAAATTAATTCAATTGAGCTAAAATCAGAGTGTCTCATTTTCTTTAATCACTTGTTTCCTAGTTTTACTTTGAGGAAAAAGTATAGAAATACTCATAATATGATAAACCAAGGTTTGATTTCACAAGCATGTCTTTAAAATCTCATTCATGAGTGAGTCACATTGAGATCTTACTATTTCTAATTTGAATAATTAAATTCCTACTGTATGTATATATGTATATTTGGATGAGTACATGATAAAGTTTATTCATGTTTTTGTTTTGCTTCATGCCTACTGTTGATCTAGTTTGACTAGTACATTTTTGGTAACCACATTGCCTTTATGATGCTAATAATTTTATTTTGTATGTTTTTGCTAAGGATTTTAACCACAATTATTCATTGTTTTATGTTCATGAAATTGAATCTTCTGCCCTTATTTATGATAATTGTGGCTTGTTTATTGATTTGCATTATGCTTTTGGTTACTTTGTTAGATGAGCAAGGAATCTGAATATCTTTTACTGGCATAACATTGGTTTGAATTGTGTCGAAGAGCACTAGCTCTATTGCTTGTATCCTTGTAAAAGTATATGCAAGTGAGATGTGTTCAAAGAAAATAAGTTACAGTTTAAGTGGTAAGAGAGAAATGATGCGTGATGAAATAATGAGTCGAATTAGTAATTGTCCATCTAGTTGAAATATCATTAGAACGACTCCTAGAACTTTTTTAGAATTGTATGGTATATTAGAAAGAGAGGTTGGCCTGCAACCCACTCAATGGTCAAGTGTGGAAGAAATGGTTGTAAAAACTCTATATATATTGACACACAATGTAAAAAATCATGAAGTGAATTTTTGATTTAGACATTCTGGTGAGACAATTAGTCGCCATTTTCATCAAGTTTTGACAGCTATCAATTAGAAGAAAAATTTCTTGCTTAACCTAATGGCTCAACCATCCCTCTTGAAATTGAAAAAGGTAAGAAATTATTCCCATATTTTAAGGATTGTGTTGGTGCTATTAATAGAACACATATACGAGTTAAAGTGCCTTCTTTAGATGCTCCTAGATACTGTGGTAGGAAGGAACTCTAGACATAGAACATGTTAGTAGCATGTACATTTGATCTAAAGTTCACTCATGTGCTCCCTAGATGGGAAGATACTGCATCTGACTCAAGAATCATTAAAAATACATTAACACGAGAAGATAGGCTTATAATTTTTGAAGGTAAATATTTTACCAATTTTGATAAAGTTTACATTTGTGATTGTAAAATTATTATAGTAATTATTTTCCTTTATGATAGGTAAATATTACCTTATTGATGGTAGATTCATGTTAACAAGAGGACTTATAACACCTTACCGAGAAGTCCACTATCATTTGAAAGAATATTCAAAAGGAAATCTACCCTTGAATTATAAAGAGTTATTTAACCTTTGACATGTAGAGTTATGCAATGCCATTGAACGTGCTTTTGGTGTTTTGAAAAAAAAATTTGCCATTCTATCCAATGCAACTGAACCTACATATGGAATTAAAACTCAAAAAATGATAACATATGTCTGTTGCATTCTTCCTAACTTTCTTGTGAGAATGGACTCTATTAAAGATCTTTTAAAAGAAGTTGATGCTGCCTTGCAAGAGAAAAGTGTTTAAATGATAATAACTGTGTTTAAAGAGGTGACAATAATGAGGCTGCTTGAGGTAAACTTGTTAGAGAAAATATAGCCAATCAGATGTGGGTAAATTATCAAGAACATCTGGATGCTCTTGAGTATGAACTTGATGATTGAAATTTTATTTTCTCAATAAATTAAAAATCTATTGTATTATTATAGACATTGAAATATGTTGTATTATTACATTGACTTATATTAAGTTTAATTGCGGCTTGATTAGACATTGAAATTAGTTGTTTCATTGACTTTATTTTCTTTGTATTATTTGTTTAGTTAGACATTGAAATTTAATTAACTTTTCAGATTGGGATTAGTATTATGTGATTATATTGTTATGAAATAGGATGGCACCAAACAATAATAAAGAGACATTGAGCTGAACAAGATTAATAGATGATGCCCTCGTTGATGCTTTCATGATCGAATATCATAAAGGCCACAATGTTAATGACACTTTTACCACTACAGCTTATGATTATATATGTAAATATTTGAGTGCTTTATTCGGTAAACAAATTGAAAAGGAAAATGTGAAAATCAATGGA